CTTATCCCCTTTCCCTCCTACTTTCCTGTAGGGTAGGAGAGACTTCTTTATTCTTTTCTTTTCTTTTTCTTTTTTGGTGAGGCAATCAGGGTTAAGTGACTTGCCCAGGGCCACATAGCTACTAAGTGTCAAGTGTCTGAGCCCAGATTTGAATTCAGGTTCTCCTGACTCCAAGGCCAGAGCTCTATCCACTGTGCCACCTAGCTGCCTCTAAGACAGATTTCTATACCTGAAACTGAGTATGTAAGTTACTCCCTCTTTGAGTCAATTCTAATGAGAGTAAGGTTCAAGGTCTCCCACCCACGTCCCCCATCTTCCCTTCCTCTGTAAAAAACTCTTTCATGCCTCTTTTATGTGAGATAATTTGCCCCATTCCACTTTCCCTTTCCACTTCTCCCAATGCATTCCTCTTTCTCATCCCTTAATCTTATTTTTTTAGATAATCAACTCATCATATTCAACTCACACCTGTGCCCTCTGTCTATGTATACTCCTTTTAACAGAACTAATAATGACAAAGTTCTTTGGAGTTACAAGTATCATCTTCCTGTGCAGGAATGTAAACAGTTTAACCTTATTGAATTCCTTATAATTTGTCTTTCCTGTTTACCTTTTTATGTCTCTTTTGAGTCTTGTATTTGAAAGTCAGATTTTTTATGCAGCTCTGGTCTTTTCATCAGGAGTGCTTGAAAGTTCTCTGTTTCTTTGAATGTCAATTTTTTCCCCTGAAGAATTATGTTCAGTGTTGCTGGGTAGGTGATTCTTGGTTGTAATTCTAGCTCCTTTGCCCTCTGGGTCCAAGTCCTCTGATCCTTTAATATAGAAGTTAAAATATAAGTGCTAAATCTAAAATCTAAAATGCTAAATCTTCTGTTATCTTGACTGTCACTCCACGATATTTGGATTATTTCTTTCTGGCCACTTGCAATATTTTCTCTTTGACTTGGGAGCTTTGGAATTTGACCATAATATTCCTGGGAGTTTTTGTTTTGGGATCTCTTTCAGGAGGTGATTGGTAGATTCTTTCCATTTCTGTATTACCCTCTAGTTCTAGAACAAGCCTGTACAAGATATGGCCCACAGGCCGCTTGCGGCTGGTCAAAGGATTTTGGTGACCAAGAAAAATGTAGAGTTGCCACAGAGCGAGCACTCTCCTGTTTGTTATGTGACCTTTGGCAACCAACCATCATCATTCTGTCTCTTGTCTAACCTATCTGCAATCTGAAGAAGTTTACAAGTTGTGAAGTCTGTTCTAGAATATCTGGACAATTTTTCTTGATAATTCTTGAAAGATGATGTCTAGGCTATTTTTTAAACCATGACTTTCAGGTAGTATGGTAATTCTGAAATTATCTCTCCTTGATCTATTTTCCAGGTCAGTTGTTTTTCCAATGAGATATTTCACATTTTTTTCTATTTTTTCTTTCTTTTGATTTTGTTTTATTGCTTTTTGATGTCTTGTGCAGTCAATTCTGATGTCCAGTTCTAATTTTTAAAGAATTATGTTCTTCAGTGAATGTTTGTACCTTCTTTTCCAATTGAACAATTCTGCTTTTAGTGAGTTCTTTTTTTCTTCAGTAAATTTTTGTACATCTTTTTTCCATTTGGTCAGTTCTGCTTTTTAATGCCTTCCTTTACTAAGATGTTGACTCTTTTTTTTTTATAATTTTCTTTCATCATTGTCTTTTCCATCCATATTTTCCCTCTACCTCTTAATTGATACTTAAAATCCTTTTCCGGCTCTTCCAGGAATTCTTTTTGGGCCTGAGACCAATTCATTTTTTTTTTTTTTGAGGCTTTGGATGGAGCAGTTTTGATTTTATTGCCATCTTCTGAGTGTGTGTTTTGATCTTCCCTGTCACCATTGTTAAGTTCTATGGTCAGGATCCTTTGTTGTTGTTGTTGTTTGCTCATTTTTCTAACCTATTTCTTGACTTTTAGCTTTATATTAAAGTTGGGCTCTGCTCCCAGGGTGGAGGGTACACTGTCCCAAACTTCAGGTTTCTTGCGCAGCTGTTTTTAGTTTTCAGTTTTAGGGGATTTTAAGCTTTCAGTTTTTTCAAGGTGATATGATCTAAGGAAAGGTGTGTTTATTACTCCCCTGGCCTGTGCTGTGATCTGTGAGGGACCACAAGCATTCTTTTCTGTCCTGGAACTGTGACCAGAATACCCACTCCTCTCTGGCCACAAGATCTGGTCTGCTGGTGCTCCTCTTTGCCCTGGGACGGTGACCTGGCTCTGAATATAGGTAATGCAATAGAGTCTTGTACCCACTGCCAGCAAAGGGGTCCCTATAATCTCCTTCTGACCAGTTGTCCAACCGCCTTACTATCTGTGGGCTGAGAGCTCCAGAAACAGCTGCTGCAGCCGCTGATTCGGTTGCCTCCAAGGACTGCTGCTGGTTTGCTGGGTGAGGCGTGCCGCAGTGCAGCCTGTTCTTGAGCATGCTTCATTCTCACCACCATGCAACAGACTTTTCCTGCTGACCTTCTAAGTTGTCTTGGGCTGCAAACTGCTTCACTCCGTTCTTTGGTGGGTTCTGCCACTCTAGATTTTGCTTAGAGGCATTCTTTAAAGTTGTTTGGAGGGGAATTTGAGAAAGCTCAGGTGAGTTCCTGCCTTTTCTCTTCCATCTAGGCTCCCCTCCCTCCCAGGGTTGGAATTTTAATGTAACTTCTTTATACTTTAGCTACTGAGGCACTGGAGTGACAACTGAAATGAAGCTGCCTTGAATTGTTCCTTGTGTTCAAAAATATTTTTGTTGATGTTCATAAAGATGAGTGATGTGCTTGGCACAGATTTAATCTTTAAAGGGGGGGATATTGGGGGCCTGAAAAATATTTATAAGCATAAGCAGGACAGAGACCTTTGCCATAGCAGTCAGAATTCAGGGTAAAGATTGTCAATGTTAAAAGGAAACAGGGGTCTTTAATATATTGGTTGGATGGTTGGGAAAAGGTTATCAACTCCCCTCTTCCTTTTTCACAATAGCTAAGAGACTCTTAGTGGGTTCACAAAACTTCAAGATAATTTCCATGACTCTGGTACTAGTTGGCAGAAACATGATGGAATTGGGAGGAATTTATTTTTCCTAACTCAGGAGATTGTAAAGGCTGAGGAAAGAGAGGAAGGAAGGAAGGAAGGAAGGAAGGAAGGAAGGAAGGAAGGAAGGAAGGAAGGAAGGAAGG